TCAAATGCAAAGCCTCAGAAAAATATTGGCTCCCCCTACCTCCACTCAACCATTACACTTTTTTTTTTTAAGAGATAGTCTCAGGCCGGGCGTGGTGGCTCACGCCTGTAATCCAAGCACTTTGGAGGCCAAGGCGGGCGGATCACCTGAGGTCAGGAGTTCAAGACCAGCCTGACCAACATGGTGAAAACCGATCTATTAAAAAAAAAAAGAGAGAGAGAGATGGTCTTGTTCTGTTGCCCAGGCCGGAGTGCACTTGTGCAGTCATAGCTCACTGTAACCTCAAACCTCTGGGCTCAAGTGATCTTCCCGTTTAAGCCACTCAGGTAGCGAGGACTACAGGAATGCACCACATCCAGCTAATTTTTTTTTTTTTTAAATTTTTCATAGAGACAGGATGGGTGGGGGCGGGGAGTGAGTCTTGCTATGTTGCCCAGGCTGGTCTCAAACTCCTGGCCTCAAATGATCCTCCTGCCTTGGCCTTCCAAAGAACTGGGATTACAGGCATGAGCCGCCTCTGCACCTGGCCTCATTGTACTTTTTTGTCCTTAAGAAACTCACCTGCATGTTGAAAGTAGAAATCCTTTGTCCCTCTCCAAACTGTAAATGGCAAGGACTTTATTTTGAAAGTTTGGGGCTTAGGATATTCTGTTTTTTAGTTACTGTTTGTTTAATCTTAAAACTTCCCATATTTTGGTTCCTGTAAAATGCTGCCTATAGGAAACACTCTGCAAAGATTCATGAGCAACTTTTAACTGCACTGAGTCATGAGCTTTCACTACAAGTAGTGAAGCCATAAGTCTATAGAGGGGCCTTCTTAGTCTTCTTTCCTTTCCCACTAAAAGGTGTATGGGACTGCCCTTCCCCAAAGCAGAGTGCCCTGGAAGTGACTCCATTTCTATTGGGTTATTAGTGAAATAATATCCCAGTGGTCCTTGCGAATCTCCAGGTCCTGGTCTTGAGTCTTAACCACTGCTTTAGTGGTTTGAGCCAACCACTAGGAACGTAGTCTGGGGATACTTTGCTGCCCAGCAGCTGCTGGCCAAATCTCCCTCTGCTGATTCCTTGATAAGGAGTAGGAAAGCGCAGGCTGCTGGGAGGTACACAGACTTGAGACTCTCTGCACTGTCTTGTTTTTTCAACCCTTTTGCTCCCTTTCCAAGGATTTCCGTTTGAGAGGAGACCCAGGCAAGGTGACATCAACAGCCTTTGCATGCAGTCTTAGCTTTGGCCCCTTTCATGGTCTTGTGCTTTTAACTGGAGCACATTTTCACATTTTGCTCACTGATTAATAACTAAAGGTGCTAAACTTAAAGACTACCATTCTGGGATTAGCCCTCATAGTCATTTTACCATATAGGAAAGAAGGTCTAAATATGAAGGCCTCATGCTTGTCCTTCTTAAAAATCATGCAAGTAAAGCAAATCCAAGAGTGTCCCTGAATACCAGCACTGCAGGTGCCACCAGGACACAGAACGCAGGCCAGGTCTGTGAGCTTGGACTGCATTCAGTCAGGAGAGCCAATACTAAATACTTGAAATCAAGAATATGGAGCTATTCCAGGCAGTTTCTCAGGCATGAGTTATAAGCTTTTGTATGGCCAGAGATGAAATCGGTCAGCTCTTCAATTAGAAGGTAATGCTTGTGATGTTTTATGCTGAGCTTAAAGACTGTTCGCTGCCATACCTGCACTGTAACCTCAGTTGCCTTATCTCAGCAGGGAATGGTTTCTCTAGGAAAGGCACTAACTTGGCAGGTGGTTTCAACTGTTCAAGGGCTCCAGCTCCTGGCACAAGTGATTTCCAGAGTTAAAACTGAAGCAACTGCTGAGACTTGACTTGCTGCCTGCTTTACCTGTTCCTTCCCCAAACAGAGGAAGCACACTATTCATTCATTGCCAGTGTGGATAGAGGAGCTAAACACATATACGATTTTAGTAAATGCCACTGTCTACTTTTTTCTTTTCCTTTAAAAAAAAAGTTATTGATAACATGATCAAAATCCAATAAACTGCACATTTAAAAAATGTTCAGTTTCATAAGTTTTGATGTGTCATTGTTTCCCTTTGAATTCACCCCTCCTTACCCTCCTCTAACAACTGCTGGTGTGCTTTTTTGTCAGTGTAGATTCATTGCATTTTCTAAAGTTGTATATAAATGGGATCAAACAGTATGTTCTTTTGTCTCTGCCTTCTTTCACTTGGCATAATTATTTTGAGATTCATCTGTGTTATCCCGTGTATCAATTGTTTGTTCCTTTTTATTGCTAAATAATTTTCTCTATATAGATATATGTATTTACCAACTTACCAGTTGGTGGATGTTTGAGTTAGTTCATAGTTTTTGGCTATTGAAAATAAATCTGCTTTGAACGGTTGTGTATAAGTCTTTCTATGGACATAGCCTGTCATTTCTCTTGGATAAATACTCAAGATTAGAATGGCTGGGTCATATGGGAGATGTAAGTTTAACTTAACTATCAAGCTGTTTTCCGAAGCTTTATGTTCTATTCCCACCCAGCAATGTATGACAATTCCAGTTCCTTCACATCCTCAATAATGCCTGATGTGGTCAGTCTTTTTAGCTTTACTCATTCAGATCGGTGGTAGACACATCTCCTAGTGGTTTTAATTTGTATTATTATAATAACTCAGAATGTTTAGCATCTTTTCATATGCTTACTTGTCATCTATCTTTTTCAGTGAAGTGTCTGTTCAAATCTTTTGCCTTTTTTTATTGATTTTTTTAATTGTTGAATTTTGATGATTTGTTATATTCTGGGCATAAGTCCTATATCAGGTATGTACTTTGCAAAAGTTTTCTCCCAGTGTATGGCTTGTCTTTCATTTTCTTAACAGTGCTTTTAAAAGTACGGAAATTGTTTTATTTTGATGAAATTTAATTTATTCTTTTATAGCTAGTGTTTTTTGACATCATACTAAGAAACCTTCGCCTAACCCAAGGTCACAAAGGTTTCCTTCTTATGTTATCTTTTAAGAATTTGATAGTTTTAGCATTTAATATTTAGGTCAAGGATCCATTTTGAGTTTATGTTTGATAATGGCATGAAGTTTTTACTGTATTATGTGTGAATATTTTGTCATTTCAGCCCAATATAATTTTCATCTCAGACATTGTAGTTTTCATTTCCAAAAGTTAGAGTCTTACAGTCCTCCTCTACTAATTCTAACATTTTGTGTGTTCTGAGTTGCTTTCATTCGACTGATAAGTCTCCTCATTTTGGGTCCTGTTTTCTGCCTCTTTGTATGCCTAGCAATCTTTGGATGCCAGACATTGTGATTTTACCTTTTGGTGTGCTGGATATTTTTATTCCTATTAATTTTCCTGAGTTTTATACTGAGAAGCATTGAAGTTATTTGGAAACAGTTTGATGCTTGTGAGTCTTGCTTTTGTGATTTGTTAGGTAGGTCCAGAGCTCAGTTTAGGGCTGACTATTTCCTGCTATAGGCAAGATCTTCCTGAGTATTCTGCCCAGTGCCTTGTGAATCATGAGTTTCTCCAGTTTGACTGGAGCCCTGTGTGAGTACTGGGTATGGTTCCTCTAAGCCTTTTGGATAGTTTTTCCTGGCCTTGAATAGTTCCCTCAAATGTATGCACTGAGAGGGACTCTGCCGAATACTCAAAAGAGGACCCTCTGTAGATCTCTGGGGAGCTCTTTATAGCTCTCTCCTGCCAGTACTCTGTCCTGTGAACTGACTGTAGGTGCCTTGAGCTCCATTCCCGTTGCCTCTCACTGAAACTCCCAAGGATATAGGCCTGGCCTTGTTTCCCAGGTCTCAGGAATTATTGTTCTTCATTATGGATGTCTGGTGTCTTACAAACCATCGTTTTAGCTATTTTGTTTAGGTGGTTTTAGGTTTTTGTGGGACTCTTTAGGGAGGAAGGGATTGGTTGTGGATTGTTTCAAGAACAAATCTGATCCTCGTCCTTCATCTTGACCAGGAATGGAACTCCTCACTACCTGTTTTGACATTACAGACTGAACAGCATAATTCCCACCCCTGAAAATGCTACAGGCACACTCATTCTAGCTTAACAAATACTGCTTTCACCTTCTCCTGCTGCCTGACAACTTATGGCCATAGTTAAGTGGCCTGTTCCTCCCCGCTTGGGAAGCCCTCTTTTTTCCCTGTCCTATAGCTTGTGCCAGTTGTGTGACACCCACTTAATCACATATCACCCTGCCCATTTTTGCAGGTTATTGTTTAGCTTTCGGACTTCATTATGGGAAATCCTCTCCTTGGGCCTAAGGAATCCCAACACCACTGCCACCGCCTAACCCTTCCCTGTGAAGATTTCTTCTTAAAAAAGTAGATGGGATTGACTGTTGGTGACTGTGGTCTGAAATTCTAGAGCAAGTCTTATGCCCCTTTCCTAGGGACAACAGATCATCCTAAATAGCATAGGAAAATAAAGATCCTAGGCAAAGGTCCTGCTTAAAGCTCCTTCACTTAGAAATCCTGCTTCCTGGCTTTTATGTTTTTCTTAAGATACTAGGGAGAGGCTTGCACCTCAGGGTCCAAGATAGGCTCAAGAGAGCTGGGGTCAGGCATTCTCACAGAGCCGTAGTCTTCACCGAAGAACATCCACATCTCCATACTGGCTCGGCAGCAGATTCAGGCTGTGTCCCACCTTGTGCTCCTATCCTGGTACCAGTCAGATAGATAATTGAAGTATCTCACCTCAGGCAAAGCAACATTGATACGTGGATGCATGTAGTGTGTGGAGGTTACTTGGCATTGCATTTGATCAAGGCAGTAAAAAGAAAGTGTCTGTCTCAGTACCCTGTGGTTTTCATTGCAATCAAAATACTGTCTTGCACAGGTCAGGGCATGTTCAAATTTGGTAAGAAATAGAATAATTCTTTTATAGATACACCATATTTTTTAAATTATGGGTTACAAACCGTTAATGTATCATGAAATAAATTTAGTGGGTCACAATCAGCATTCTTTTTAAAAATGAGAAGTATATTCTGTGTAGTAACTTAAATGTAAATTTTATTTTGTTTATACACAAAATGTGGTTACATGTACTGGGTTCTGACATAAGTACTGGTCCCATTGTCGCAGATCAGGGATGTCTCTGTGGTTGTGGTTGTTGAGTTCCATTTCTGTTACTGCTCTTGTGGCAGCACTGCACTGTGGTGTGCTCACTAAATGTCAAATAAAGGTTTGCCTCATGCCAGCTGTGTTTGGCTGGAGGCAACTGAAGACCCAACATAAGGCAAAGCGGACTTCCTTTTTTTTTTGTAAGACTTTAAAGAGCAGTTTTAGATTATCAGCAAACGTGAGAGGCAAATACAGAGATTTCCCATATATCCCCTGGTCCCACACATGCATAGCCTTCTATTATTAACATCTCCGACTAGAATGGTACATTTGTTGCAATTGACGAACCTACATTAACACATCATGATCACCCAAAGTCCGTAGGTTACTCTAGGGTTCACTCTTGGTGGTGTACATTCTGTGCGTTTGGACAAGTGTATGATGACTTGTATTCATTATACAAATTCTCTAATCATGATGACATGTATTCATTATAGCATCATACAGGACATCTTCACTGCCCTAAAAATTCTCTGTGCTCCATCTGTTCCTCCCTCCCTCTACCCTTGACTCCTGGCAGTCACTGATCTGTTGACTGTTACTGGTTGACCTTCAAAGCACACTTTTAATCACTTTAGAACATGAGTTTTGAGGGAGGTGGTTTGGGGCTGATTCAGAGCACTGGAATGACCATCTTGTGGTATGCCTGGCCTTCTTGTGGTCACAGGGTGTCTGGCATGTTCCAAACATGATATCCTCACACAACAGCATTCACCAGGTAGAGCAGGAACTTTCTTCCCAAGTCTTTGTTTTTCTTTTTACTAATGAGGTAGGACTTTCCTGGAAGATGCCAGTAGACTTCACAGCAGGTGCAGTGGTACCCAAACTAAGTAGGTGTAAGTGCCCAAACTGACCCAGATCCCTACCCCACACCACCCCTGGCATAGGGGAAAAGCTTAGATTGATTCCAGTTCATCTGCTGGGCCAGGCTGTTGTTGCTTCTGGGAAGTTGATGTTTAATTAGAAAGGAAGGTGAGTGTGCTGAGTCCAGGTTGTCCCACAGCCTTGGTTCCAGGTTGCCCCTATGGGCATGTTTTTCTTAAAATAATGCAGACTAGAGAGAAGCTCTTTCTGGTTTTCAGTCTCCTTTGTGGCTCACTGTCTCTGCCACTCAGTGGTTCTGACCTTGGGTGGGTTACTGAGCCTTGGGGTTGGTTTTCTTACTTCTGTTACAAGCAGTTTCATGGAAGTGGATGGAAAGGCTCCCTGCCTGGCCAAGGAATGGAGCATCATAGCTGTTTATTGCCTACTCTCACCCCTACCTCTGAGTTTGGTTGGGTTGGATTCTGTATAAGAAGTCCAGTTTGAAACAGGCTAAAGGCAGTGTGTTTGGTAGGTATTGTGGAGCCTGGAGACCTGTTGTCTCCCAGGAACTCATTTATAGAGAACTGTTCAAGTCCTGACATCAGTCATTTTTATCATCGAGTGGTGACTGCATTCTGGTAAAGGAATGAGCTAAATGCGTAACCCAGCTTACCAGTTTTGGGGCACCAGTTTCTTGGAACAGGTACAGGTCCCCACCCTCCTGTCTCCTCTTAGTCCTCAGCTCCCAGCTTCAGGCTCCAGGCAGCATTGGCATCCATTCTGCTCCCAGGACATCTGTCTCTACTCCTGCTCTGTTGAAACACCACTACCCAACCCCCACCCCCATTTCTTATTTTGTTAAAGTCCACATAGTCCAGTAGCTATGATAACGCTGCCAATTCATCTTTGCCTCCCCATCCTACTTCTAAGTGTTGACATTGTTTTTTCGGTTGGGATTATGTCAGGATTTTCCTTTTGTCCTAAACTCATACACAACAGAATTGTAATGTTTTTGTGGATTTTCTAATGCTTAGAACCATGGTGAATGCTCACTCTCAGTCTTCCAGTAAAATCAGTTTTGTGCCAATTATATGTTAACCACTGGCTGATCTCCAATCTGGGATCCTGACTAGAGAATTTCAGGAACTCAGTGTCTGCTATCACAATTGGCTGGCAGTGGCTTCCTGAGAAACCAATGCTGATGTTGTTTTTGAGAAGGAAGTTGCAGATATCTATTGCAGATGTCTGTTCCTCTTTTCTCATAGCATCTCTGGAGTTCCCCTTTTATTGGAAGGTGCCGTTGTGGCTTGTCCAGCTTCTGGGAAACTGGGATAATAGAGCATGGCATTTGGGTTTATGATTTATAATGTAGTTTTACTATTTTGGCAAGCTACTTCAATTCTCTCTGTCTGCCTCGGTTTCTTCATCTGTGAAATGGGGATAGTGCTGTGGAGAAAGAATTGAATTAGTTCACGTGTGGAAAGCACCTAGCCCAGTTAGAGTAACTCAGTGGAGCCACTGCTAACAGAGTTGCTAGCAGTTGGCTGGGTTTACTGAGTTAATTCTTCAAGGGCAACCATTCTAACCTCCTTGGTATTCCTGCCCTCTTATGTCATCTCTGTTACAAAGTGTTAGCTGTGCAAAAATCAGCACAGGTTGTTTTCTGGGGCAGCAATGGATAAAATAAGTGTGATGAATGCTGCAAACATTCTGTCTTTCATTTCTCTACTTCAGCCCAGGTTGGTTTTTACTTTTCCCAGGAAGATTATGACAACTTAGGAACCAGCCTACAAGTGCCCAGCTTTATGCCCCAGGTTTCCTGTTGGTATGAGACACTTGGCACTAGAATGTGGGTGAAAGCTTGCCTTATAGCTTCCTCTTACCACATCCCATAGTGCTGACCCACAGCCTGGAGAGCAGCAACATGTGAAGGTCACAATCAGTGAACCACAGAGGAGAGGGTGGCAGATAGTGGAGGGGGATTTGCCTGCATTGAACAATGGAGGCGCAACATGTAAACACATTATATGTGAAAGGTGATTGGGGAATTTGGGAAGGAAGATTGCTTCTTGCCCTGTGTGTGTCTTCTAGACATTTTGTGCACCTCAGGGGACCACAGTTATTTTTAGTTGGGGAGAAAATCTACCAGGTGCTAGGAGAGTCATGGCAGGAGGAAGTTCATACTTCCCATCTCCAGAACAGGGTGGACTGCCAACCACCTTTGGTATGCGGGGTCCTTTTGTAGTCATCTTACTGCTTGGAGTCAGGGAAGAGCATTCACAGGTCTGGAGTAGGACTACCCCAACTCCTTAGATGCCCAGTGAGGCCACAGGAAACCCTCCCTAGGTACCGCAATTCCTGCCAGACTCTTCTGCACTAGCATCTCTGATGGGTGCTCTGCTGTCTCTGACTTGCCTTGTCATTACTTGTCGCTCATGTTACAACTGCCCTTTTTCACAGGGATGCTTGAAGATGGAAAGAAATTTGATTCCTCCCGGGACAGAAACAAGCCCTTTAAGTTTATGCTAGGCAAGCAGGAGGTGATCCGAGGCTGGGAAGAAGGGGTTGCCCAGGTATGCTCTCTCATTTGTTCTGTTTTACTTTCTGGTATTTACCTTTTATATTATTCTTATAGGTGGCATATTTACATGGCTCAAAAATTTAAAAAGTTAAGTCTCACTCTCGTCCCATCCCATCTGCCCAATACCTCCACAAGAAGCTCCTGTCGTTCATGTTTTTGTATTGTGGTTTAAGCACATACTGCTTTTTTCTTGCTTTCACACACAAAGTTTTGCAGTTTACTTTTTCACTTAATCTATTTTTGACACTCCCTATACCAGTACATAAAAGAGGAGTAAACTCTGATACAGCTGCATAGTGTTTCTTTATGTAAATGTGCTATAATTTATTTTGCTAGTGCTCTATTAATGAGTATTTGGGTAATTTCCAGAATTTTGCTATTGTAAACAGTGCTGTAGTAACTTAATTATACAGATTTTATTTTACATGTGTGCACATGTTGCCATAGGACATACTCTCAAAAGTGGGTGAGTGCTCAAAGCTGTGTGTACTGTTTTTTGACAGATATGCCAAGTTGCTATCTCTAGGGGTTGCACTCTGAACTGCCTGAAGGCTATGAAGGTGCAATCTCCTCCGGTCCCTAGCATCACAGTGTATTGTTAAATCTTTGGCCTCAGGATAGTATGAGTAAAAAACAGTATCAGTGCTTTTAATTATTTCTCTTACTATTAACCATATTGTGTCAGACTGCTTCTGACAGGTCATACTAATGGAGAAAATAATTTTGTCTTGTGATCCTAATCTCTTTCCTCCCCATTTGTGGAAACAGCTTTTGTTCTGCCAACACTATAAAATTCCCAGGAGACAGTAGGGACCCACGGTTGCCAAATTTCAGCCGGATTCTGTCTTCCCATCAATCCTAGGGATTTTTTTCTAGCTCTAACCAGGTAAAGGGATGTTTTTCAGTGACCTAAGACCCAGGCAACTTTATAATTAGGCTCTGCATGATGGGTAGGCTGCTTTCCTCTCACCAAGGAGAATTAGAAATTCAACCAAGATGAAAGACAGATTTCTGTCTCTCTCTTTTCAAGAATACACATGCTTCTACTTCCTCTATAAAACATCACAGATTTATCTCCAAATAAACTGCTCAACTTTTAGAAACTTGAAGCCTTCCACTCCCAGGTGTCTGGGTTTCTGTTCCTGTAGAGCAGAGGGTTGGCAGTATGAGGAAGAGGCTTTGTACTTTACTTCCCTTGGGAAACCTTGCCAACCATAGCTTTTTGCCTCTGTCTCCCTAGTCTGGCTGGCTCTTAGATCTGTAGCCCATCCTCTATCTTGCATGCCAGCCATTGTTCATACCTCATCCCATCTTTGACTGCTCCAGCATTGGACAATCGCTGTGTTGTATATCCTAAGTGCTGTATCTACCATCAAGTTAGTGTTATCAGCCTACTTCACATCTCAGGCTTGGAGAAGCATGACTCTCCCTTTAACTGGTGCTTTGGGGTCAGTCACAGCCCTGTCATTTGTGAGAAGTCTGGGTAGTTTGAGACCTGCATAAAACATCTTTTAAATTCTTCACAGCATATTTTTTTCAGCAAGTAACTTAAAAACACAGAAAAGGGAAATTGTCTTACACCCCTTTTCCTTTCCTTTTGGCATTGAATTGTGCCACAAGGACTATTTTGGCAGCTTTTATTCATCCATCTTGGACATCTTTTTATGTTAGTACATTTAAAGCCACCACTGTATTCTTTTTGACTAATCCCTGGTGTGGATATGCCTATGAAACCACTGCTTCTGTGATGGACATTTGAGTTGTTAGCAGAATATTCTGGAAGTAGAATTGCTGAGTCAAGAAATATGATTGTTTTGAATTGTACAAGATAAAGCCATATTTCACTGTCCTTCCCACCTTGATCCAACATGTCCCAGTTTCAGAGGGGAGCAAGGATTAGACACTTCACAGCCTGCAGCTTCCTCTTTATTCATCCTCTCTCCAGTGGATTCCAAAAGCCAGGAACATGGGAGACCTAAAGCAAAGCAGAGAGAGGTCAAAGGATGGAAATACTGCAGAGAATCTGCTCACTGTTCAGAAAGTAGATATTTATACTTATTTCTGTATTTAGTTTGAAACAAAATAATACACAAATACATTTTTTAAAGTAAAAATCTCTCCTTACTGGTCACTCCTATCCACATTGTTCTCCTCATAGCAAAAATCTGGTATGTCCTTCCAAAGATGTTTTCTGTTGTAGATATAATCAATATTTTCAAAAATAGTATCATATAGTACATGCTGTTGTGTAGCCCAGAAAATCATATTATCTTTTTTGAAGTTTTCCTATATGGGCAAAAAAGTATAAATAGAAAAAATAGACTACCCCCAAGTATTAGTTTCTATGTATATACTTTTTTAAAGCATAGTTTCAGAGTATTCCTTTTTCAAGACGAGCATAGATGTCACTAAATGTGTCCTTTCAGTGACAGACCACTGAAGGGGGAACTAGGTGGTGAGACATCTGGAATGTTACCTGCCCAGCATTAGTCATTAAGTCTTGGGTAGAAAGGTTGAGGGCTTAACCCTTCTGAGAGTCAAGAACGGTTTTGAACTGCCATTGGGCCTCTTGGAGTGAGATGCAGGGGTCATGGAATCTGACTGCCAGCCTTCAAGCCCTGCCCAGGGAGGTGGTGATGCCTGGGCATATGCAAAGTCAATACCATCCTGGCCAAGGAGCACCTAGGTAAACAGCTCTTGTTCTTACAGAGACAGCTGGCGTGTGTGTCAGGCTGAGTCTTTCTTCCTTGTTCTTTTCACAGATGAGTGTCGGTCAGAGAGCCAAACTGACTATATCTCCAGATTATGCCTACGGTGCCACTGGGCACCCAGGCATCATCCCACCACATGCCACTCTTGTCTTTGATGTGGAGCTTCTAAAACTGGAATGACAGGAATGGCCTTCTCCCTTAGCTCCCTGTTCTTGGGTAAGGAGATCAAATGCTGAAGGGTCTTTCACTACCTTTGTGCCTCCCATGTTATGCCCAGTGTTTTGGTGGGTAGCAGAGAGAACATAAAGGTGGTTTCACCTGGGACCCAGCCCAAGCCCATCTGGCTGTCTCCAGCTAGAACAGAAGTGGCTCAGTCTCAGACTGCTCAGCTGTTGGGGAAGGGATTTGGCGTGGCAGATGGCATCGTGGCTGTCACCACTGCAGACAAAGAACACTGAGCTGCTGGAAACTCACAGATTTTCTGTCCCCAACAGGTCTGCCATGGAGGGATGTGGTGCCTCCAGATGCGTGCACATGAATCCATATGGAGCTTTTCCTGATGTTCCACTACACTCTGTATAGACATCTGCCCTGACTGAATGTGTTCTGTCACTCAGCTTTGCTTCCGACACCTCCATTTCCTCTTCCCCTTTATCCTTGTATGTGTGTTTACCTAAACTATATGCCATAAACCTCAAGTTATTCATTTTATTTTGTTTTCATTTTGGGGTGAAGATTCAGTTTCAGTCTTTTGGATCTAGGTTTCCAGTTAAGTACATGATCAAGTATTAACAGCACAAGTGATAGGTTAACTTTAGAATAGGAATTGGTGTTTGGGGGGGGTTGCAAGAATATTATATTTTAATTTTTTGGATGAAATTTTTATCTATTATATATTAAACATTCATGCTGCTGCTGCGCTGCAAAGCCATAGCAGATTTGAGGCGCTGTTGAGGGCTGAATTATTCTCCAAGTTGAGACATGTGCTTGGGTTAAAATAAAAGCCCTACCTAAAACTGAGGTGGGGATGGGGAGAGCCTTTGCCTCCACCAGTCCCACCCCACCCTCTCCTTAAACCCTCTGCCTTTGAAAGCAGGTCATTTTCACTGCGATGTTGGACACTACAGGTATCTATCTGTCCCTGAGCCAGCAGGGACCTCTGAAGCCTTCTTTGTGGCCTGGCTATTATTTTTCCCCCATCCTGTGGTTTTTCTAATGGACTTTCAGGAATTTTGTAATCTCATAACTTTCCAAGCTCCACCACTTCCTAAATCTTGAGAACTTTGACAGTTTAAATTGAAGGTGCTGTTTGTAGACTTAACACCCAGTGAAAGCCCAGCCATCATGACAAATCCTTGAATGTTCTCTTAAGAAAATGATGCTGGTCATCGCAGCTTCAGCATCTCCAGTTTTTTGATGCTTGGCTCCCTCTGCTGATCTCAAAGCTTCCTGGCTTTTCCTCCCTCAGCTCCTTCTCACCCCTTTGCTGTCCTGTGTAGTGATTTGGTGAGAGAAATCATTGCTGCCCCCTCCCCCCAGCACCATATATGAGTTTCAAGTTTTATTATTGCAATAAAAGTGCTTTATGCCGGCTTTTCTCAGCTCTGTGTCATGGCGGTTACTTTTAAGTGCCTCCCCTGCCATTTGGTGCCAGAGGATAAGGTTGGGCAGGGTGAAGGAGGGTGGCAGTGGGGATGTAGTTTCAAGATTGTGTCTTGGCAGAAAAATGCAGCCGTGAACATCCTTTGCATTGGCCATTAAGGGGTGAGGGAGTTGGAGGTGAGGGGGGGATGTGGGGGGCAGTAGGTTTGCATCAAAGGAACTGCCTGAAGGGCAGGCCAGGATAGTCAGGGAACATCCCCTCCCCGTTATCAAATATTTATTAAATGTGTGTTCTGAGTAGAGTACTATGCTGGGTGTTCTTGGGTTACAGAGAAGTGGGAGATGCAACAGACTTTCGAGAAGTGAGTCACCATTTGGAGATGTGCTGCAAGCAACTGCAAGCAATTCATGAAGAGATTCAAAGGGAAGGTTTTGATTTTAAATTGGTATTCCTTAGTAACAGCTAGTGTAGAAAGGCAGTCCTGTGGAGAGGCTGCGTAGTTGCAGTAGCTTCTCTGGACCCTACCCTGTGTGCCAGTAACACCCTGCCCTTACTGAGAGTTATAGAGAATGCTCCCACACCTTTCTAGACACCTTCCAAAATTGCCCTAGTTGAGAACCACTGATTTTAAATAGCAAATTATTCAAGAGCTTGCTTACTGGCTTCCTAAGTTCTTTTTGTTAATTATTTATAATCTAGACTGGCAGAGGCATATTCCAGGGCCATATCTTAGAGTCCCCAAAATTTTTTATAAAAGTTTTCAAACAACAAAGATTAAAATGAACACCTGTATATCCACCTAGATTCTATCATAAACATGTTACTCTACCTATATATCACATATCTATCTGTCCATCAAACTTTCCATTATGTCTCTTCAGAGTAAATGGCAGACATCACAACAATTCCCCCAGTACATATCACTGACTAGGGAGTAGTGTTTGTGTATACTTTTGTGCCCCTGCCAGGACAAAGAACATCACCATACCAGAAAATTCCATTATGGGCTTTCCCAGTCAACCCCACCCCACACTTAGAGGCGATAATTGTAATTTTTTTCCACCATAGGCTAGTGTTGCCTGTTCTGAAATTGAATTTAAATGGAATCCTACAGTGTGTCCTTTTGCACTCAGCAGTCAGTGTTGTGCCTTGACTCGAGCATATGGAAAGCTGTTCTCACTGAACTTGCCTTTCAGGGAAATCCTCTGATTGAGGATGGGGGTCCTCAAAGATTTTCACATCCTAATCCCCAGGACCTGGGACTGTGTCACCTTAACTGGCAAAAGGGACTCTGCAGATGTGGTTAAGTAAGTATTCTGAGACAGGAAGAGTCTCTTTATTTACCTGGGTGGATGCAGTATAAGCACACACATCCATACAAGCATCAGTGAAGGCGAAGTGAGGGTACAAAGACTGAGCATGCTAAGGTATTGGCTTTTAAGATGGAGGAAGGAGAGCAACAAGCCAAGAGATGCTGGCAGCCTCTAGACACTAGAAAGGGAAAGGAAATGGATTTTCCCCTAGGACTTCTGAAAGAAACACACCAATACCTATACCTTAATTTTAGCCCTGTGATGCCCATTTTGGACTTCTGACCTCCAGAAATGCAGAATTTATTACTAAGGTGATAAATGAGTATTGCTTTAAACCATTGTGGTAATTAGTTATAGCAACAATAGAAAGCTAATACAGGGCCATTTTAATATAATTTTTAATGTACAGCAGAATAAGAAGTCAGGGTTTCTTTTTTTTTTAATCTGTTCAGGATCCTATGACCCTAGCAAATCCAACTTCAATTTTTTTTCTCCTTCCCTTCTGTTTCTTGCCCTAAGCACTTACAGCGTTTAGCTTTAATCACAGCATAGTACAAATTTTGCATTTCTGCTTTTTTCCCCACTTTGCCATTTTTATCAGGAGTATTTGTCCATGTTGCCATATGGTCTTTATAACTGTTTTAAGAGGGCTGCAAGTAAATTATATCACACGAACATATTAAATTTACTTAACTACCCTGTTAAAGGATAACTTTAAAGAAATTATGACTCATACAAAATTAACATGCTAAAGATTGTATTTAGCTTGTTCATTATTGAGAGAACCAAAAAAAAGAACCGGCAGGACACTTTAATTGGCTCAAAGGAGAATCCAAAGAAAAATAATTATAAGCCTAGTAAGAATGCTGAAAGAATTTGCTTCCTAGTTACAAAACTGGCAAAATTGGCCAATATCTATAGAACAATAATCAGCTACATTCCATTGGTCACAATTTGCATTTCTATGAACAAGAATCATCTGCATTATCAGTTTCCCTTAATTTACATAATTGTCAAGTAGCTCAAAGGTAGTGAAATAAAAGGTGGAATCAATCCAGAAAGATGGGTTACATTAGATGGAACACCCAGTAATTGGAGGCAGAGGTGGAGGCAGTGAGTAAGACCTATTTCAAAGTCCTTCACAGTGTTTCATGATAGGCTGTACTTGTATACTTGGGTTCTGTCCAATTATTTGCTTTTAATAAAAGTCAATACATCTTTGAATTTTTTTTCCTCTCCTAAATACCTAGGTTTTGTAGGATATAATATGTTAATAGAGGGAATTTGTAGGGTCAAAGGAGATTTTTTGACTTTTGACTAGTGTTGCCAAGTTGACCAGAGTTGTATA